ATGAAGCTCGTGAGGAGGGCGAGGAAGAGCATCCGGGAGCGGCGCATGAAGGCCTGCCTGAATGACCTCAGCGCCAACCTGGAGAAGGTGGAGATGCGCGTCTTCAGGCAGCAGAAAAAGGAGCGGGAACGAAAGCGCAGGGCAGCGGGCGTCAGCGGCGGTGTGCCGCGGGATGTGCTGATGGGGAAGATGAACCCGGAGTTGTACGAAGTTGAGTGCCGGCTTCACCGCGAGGCGGGGCTGCCGCCGCCCCCGCCGCCCGAGGGGTGGGCGCAGGCATCGCGCAGCAGCGCAGTGCGGCGGATTGGGTTTGTGGAATTCGGCGTGGTTGCGGCGGAAGTGCTGCGGCGCCGCCAACGCGTTTCCTAAAGCCCCCCTCCCGCGTGTTTGTTTGCTGCGTGTGTGTGTGGCTAACAGCCAGAAATGAACCGTTTAAGTCTTGCAGGCATAAACTCTTCTCGTGGCCGTATTTTGCCTGGGACCGTCTCGCCGTATCCGACTTCCGACGTCGCCGGGTGCACGCCCTCTTCTTTACCTTCCCCCGCCTGGGCCCACCTGTAGTCGGCTGCGTGTGTGGGTTTGCCGCGGTCCTGCTCCGCCCCTCCAGGCGAGCTCGCCTCTACATGTGTGTGCACTTGCTACCTTCTCTCTTTTTTCTTCCTGTTCTTCTTTGTTTCTCTCCTGTGTGTGTGGTGGGGGGGAGAGGGGTGTCTCCGCCGCTGGTGAGAAGCAACATGCAGAAAATCATATCTTTTTCCGAGGTGGAGAAGCACGCGCAGGAGGACGACCTATGGCTCGTCATAAACAAGAAGGTCTACGACGTCACGAAGTTCGTTGACCAGCACCCGGGCGGCGTTGACACGCTCACCGGGGTGGCGGGCAAAGACGGCACGGACGACTTTAACTCCGTCGGCCACAGCGACACCGCAAAGGAGGAGCTCGATAAGTACTACATTGGCGACTTGGATCCCAACGACGCCGACAAGCTCAAGGCCCCGCTGCACAGCGCCACAGACAACACAACGACCATCGCTATCGTGGTGGCACTCATCGCCATCTGCTTGTACCTCATTTTCTTCCCCTGAGCTGTACGGCAGGCTCACAGCGCCAGGCAAAAAAACGAAAATGAAAACTATTTTAAAAAAGGGAATGGAGAGAAAATGAAAAAAAAGCAACTATTTTTTTTTTTTTCGGTTGAGGGGAGTT